TATAATTACTTTTGGTTTTATGAGCTGTTCAAACTGTTCATATTTAAAAAAATCATTTTCAAACATTTTAGGAAAAGAAATAGGCAGATATAAAAATGCTCAAATGTTTCAACTGTCTTTACTGTGTGCGTATATACACACATACACACACAACAAATACGTATCTTGCTATTAGTGTATATATATATATACACACACACAACAAATACATATCTTGCTATTAGTATATATTTATATATATATATATATATATGCATATTTATATCTTTTAAACTGAACATTGGATGCTTTCAGAACATGTTTTCTTTTCATGCCTAAAAAAGAGAACTACAATTTTCTACTCCACATTTCCTTACATTATGCTCTTTTGGGACAGCACTCTGCAAATAAGCAAATCACCACTATTTAGGTATGGATACATGAACCTCCTATTTTTATTCTAAATTCGAATTCACTCATCATAGCTAGTGTCCTCAAAGCATCCTCAAATTATTGCTGTTACACGGTCCCTAGAAACCAGAGGTACGAATACAAATTTTAAAAAGAGAAAGGAAAAAAGCCCTATACAATTAGATGACAGTGAAAGGTTTAATCAGTTTAATTTCATCACTAAACCCAGCCCTTCCTCGCGAGCCGTCGGAGAGCGAGGTGAGTGAGGGCACGGGGGTGCAGCTGTGGTGCAGAGTAGCGTGTCCCCGACCGGCCAGGATGAAGCACAGCCAGGTGTCACCTGGGTGTGCAGTGGGTGAGGAGCCACACGGCCGCTATTTCCTCCTCAGCACAGTCTTTCCATTCATTAATGTTTCACGGAATTCCATTTCACAACAAGCCTGGCCTCTCATCCATCTGCTCTACTTATTCTGCTCCTTTGCCAACTTTTTATGTGAATTTCACAGTGTTTGGCAGCTGGACATGCTCCTACCTCCCTTGGTTTGTCCAAAATTTATCATCAATTTTCTAAAACTGTGTGATCGGTCACCCTGCAACAATATCTAAATCACAAGTGTTAACTTATTTCGCTGTCAAATACCTCAAAAAATAAAAATAAAATAAAGGTCATGTACTGATGACTGAATTCAATTCAACTGACTTAACAAAAGCTATTTTCAAAGCACCTTAAATAGTTCTCCAAAGTTCCTTCCCTTCCTTCATTTAACAACTGACTCACCATGGAAAACCCTACCCTGATTAACTGCATGGAACTGCTGAGTTTGTATTCGTTCCCAATCCATCTCTAAATATGTCTATGTTCAAAGAGCAATTAAAAAAAATTTCCAGAAACTTCATTTTACACATTGTATATACAAATGGGTCAAATACCAAAAATACTTTACAAAATGCATTCCATGCTAATGCATAGTTTCTTTTAGGAAAACTACTCTCACAAAAGAAAGAACAACACATATGCAAAACAGAATATATTTACTATTTTAATAGTTGAAAATACACCTGTGAAATTCCTCAGACATATTACCCTGAGGGTCTGAGATATGAAGCGATCTGTCTTTATATACAAGCTGTTAGGCTCCTGTGATGCATGCTGCCCCTTATTCTACCTGGCGGAGCTGATACTAATTTTAAATACCTTAAACCTTTACCTTTAATATTTTGGGTTAAAATAGACACCTTTTATAATATTGACGCACTCAGTTCTTTCCTAACACAGGCATACATTAATACAACCACAGAATATAGATTTGATTGTTTAATCACCGTGCATCATTCCACCCAGAACTATAAAAAAAAAGTGCGTCTCTTAGAACTGGCGAGCAATAAACTGAATGGATATTTAATGAGGGCAGGTAGCAGATACTACCTCTGAAAAACTACAAGTGCCCCCAGGATTTTCTGAAAGTCTTTGAACAAAACCGAAGCACAATCAACCTACGTGTCTCTCACGTGCCACAGAGGATGTGAACATTCCTTGATCACATGTACAAAAACTAGATGGTTTCCTTGTCCTTTGCACAGTTTTTTAGTTGCCCATTTTTCTCCTTTACAAATGTCACATTTTGACATTTTTCATCTGTACCCAAAGTGTAAATTATTCATAAATAATTTCTAAGAGAAATTTAGTCCTAACTAAAAATGCCACACGGAGCAAATGTACAAATGTACAGCACGAGGTACTGATAAAATAACAGAAAGGGTCTTCAGGGCTGGGAGGTTACTCTGAGCATCTTCTCTAAAGTTTATCTGAGAGGGAAAGGCAGGTCCTGGGTAGTTAATACCTGAAAGTCATATTCTGTGGGTACATTATTTTTATTTTTGTTTTTTTTGGATTCTTAAAGATACGTAACTCCCATGTGGTATGGAGACTAAAAATACCTAGTACAGGAAAATATTTCATTTCTGAGGTTCTGCATCACATTTAATAATAAAAGTATTGTATAAATTTCACGCTAAAGCTGTGGCTACTGAGTTTTATTTCAGAGCCCATAGATTATTTTGACCATAAAAAGTGTAACAAAAAAATCAGAGTAAAGCCACTCTTGGAGTATACATTTAGAAATCCCGTAGCATCTCACAGCACTGGAAACTAAAAGTTATGATGCATCTTCAAAGATGACTCCTGCTCATTTGAATGGGTGGAAAAACCCGTACCATTGGCAAAAAAGGTTAACTTTCATTGTAATGTATTTATTCACATATGAGAAGAGCCCTGACTTGGTGCTCAGAAACAGAGGCTTCAGTTAATACTTGGTAGGGCCTTATTAAGGTTCCATAACAACCATCAATACACATGTGGATTTTAAACTGCGGCAAATACAAAGTTTTTAATGCTAGATAAGCTTAAAAGCTGAGGCATCTCTATTCAGTTACTACTGTTAAGATTCTAGTATGAATATTAGGACATAATTTAAGTTTACCATTTTTCTTTAATAGAAGAGAATAACAAGCATTTGTAATAACTAGGAATTATACAAAAACTGGTTTGCTTCCAGAAAATGCAAATAATGATTTATCATGTCCCATAATTGTTGTTTTCTTTTACTTTGATCACCTACATTTACATTATTAACTTACCCTTGAAAAGTGAATATTTAGTAGTTTGATCTGACTCTTAGCTGTCGGCAGATGCCACAGGAAATTTCACCCCCACACGTAAGTTTACACATAATAGGAATTAACAGACACATCCTGATGACTCTTTCCCACTTCACTTTTTGACTTTGAAAATTAAGAGTCTCGGTATGTTTAAAATAATCAAAGCATGGAAATATTTCATATAAATTTTATTTTTAATTGTTAGAGTTCAGTTTATAGCAAATGAAATCTTCCTTCTGATTTCTTGTTTTTCTTCCCAAAATTGAATGCCTTTTAAGATAGCATGACTGGCCTTTAAAAGTATGAAAAATGAATTTGAGAAAGGAACCAATGTCCATTGGCTTATATTTTATTTCTATAGATTGCTTTATTGTGAAATATTATTCCATACTCAATATTCTAAATATTTAGTCTAAACAAAATTGCTTGGAGACATGAACACTTGTAGTATACAAGGTGCTTTCTTTTTTCTCTTTTAAAAGTTATGCTCATATTAAATTCTGTGATCTTTTTCAATATCGTTGCCACTTTTTGTTAGCATTAACAGACCTGTTTCAGAAAGAAATTTCCAGATAATAGAGTAAACAGCTGCACTTGGAGCAGCTCTGAGAGTTAAACTAGAATCACGAAATTACCCCATCCGGAAGGCTCTGAAATCTTTGAAGGAAGTTGTCTGGCTACTTTTGGTCCCTGTGGTCCTGACCTGCCATCATAATTAATCTGTTTGATATTGGCATTTGTGTCTTCACTCTATCTGGTAATTTCTATTACTGGAAGGAGTCACGAAGGACTAGGGCTGTGTGTGAGGGCAGTTGGGAAAAGATGTGGCAGAAACTTGTCTCAGGCTAGTGTAAGGATGAAAATCCCCAGGAGGGTGGACAACCTCAACTCTATTGACAGGGTGTCCTGTGTCAGAAAAACTGGAAAATCTGACACATTTCAGTCCTGCTGCTAACTGTTCATATAGCTCTGTATTCACTTTTTAAAACCAACATATTTTAAATAAGGGTGAGAGCTGAACTTTCTCCTGCAGACTCATCTTAGGAGCTGCTGATAACAAGTTCTTCCATGGGAAAGAGCAGGGGAGGGTCTTTCCTTCCTCCCGTGGACTCTGTGCAGGTGAGGTGGCATGTTAGGACCTTGCCTCTCACCTTGGGGCAGGGGCTGGTTTTACACCAGCCCCTCTGGGGGAGCCCTGGGCTGGTTATGGAACAGGCTGACTTCAGGGCGGCTGCTCCCCAGAATCTCAGTAACAAGACACAGACATGACAGTATGTCAGCAGCAACCTGTCAGCCAGCTTGCTTTTTCTCCTTTTCTGGTGTGCAAGGTTTTTTTTGCCACTAACAAGCTAAAATGCCTATTTCTCTTTTCACGTATTAATTTCTGCTTATTCTGCCAGGACAAGCCTGCACTCTCTGGAGGTCCGGGTGTTTACAAAACAACAGACACCATGCTAAATACAAACTGTCAGGCAATTTGGGGAGGTGACTGCCCGCTTTTTTCTCCAAGGCAATTTGGATGGAAAAGCTGGCACAAGGTCTTGCCCCTGGTTTACAGGGATGCTGGCTTAAATAAATGTTTCCTTTGGCACCGTGTGCTAATGTCTCCTCTGTGAGAGTCAGAAGCAGTGCAGGCGCCATGGAGTGAGTCCTGGAGGGAGCTGTCCTCCAGGCAGAAGGACGACGGGGTCCCGTTCCTGCCCTCTCCTCCGCCTGCTGCTGCCCAGCCTCCTCGCACTGCTGCCCGGCCGCTGCTCTGTGAACCGTCCCCTCGGGGCTCCCAAAGACCCAGACATTTACAAACGCATCTGAACTCCAGAGGGCTCTGCTTTGTGCTGACATATCCCTAACCCAAAGTGAAGCTTCTGGACACAAGCCGACCCCCCAGACAAGAGGACGGCGGAGAGGCGCGGAGAGTTCGCGGTAGGCGGCACAGAAAGCCAGGTCCTTACCTTTCCTCTTCGACCTCCTCCTCCTCCTCCGCTTAGACTTGCATTTGAGTTGACTGTTCAGCCCTCCGGACCCTCTGCTGGTCCCCAAGACCGATGCCATGGCTGAGACTTAGGAAGTAGAGCAGGAGAGGAATCCTTTCTGAAACAGTCTTCCCTTTCCTGCTCCGTAGCCGCCGCTGCTAAATGCTTCGCAACCGGAGAGACTCACTTTTGGGGACTGAGAACTGGCGCTCCCCGCCCTTCGCTCTCTAATTGTTCTGTCCCTGCCGCCGGGCTGAAGCCTGGGATGGAGCCGAGCGCCAGCTCCCAGGGTTGCACCGACAGGAGAGGTGCGCCTGGCGCGCTCAGCCCTCCTCGCGGCTTCTCTTGAGCTGGGCTCCAAGCGCACGGCTTGGACTTTGGCACCTCCGCTAGTTGTTGGGCACCAGCCACTTTGAAGCCAATCACGCAGGGAGCTTGTCTATTTGCCGCTGCAAAGTCTAATTAGATCCAATCGCAGCTGTCTTCTGGCTCTGACATCAGCACCTCCAGCTCTCTGCATCCCTGTCAGCTTGCAAACTCAGCTCCCATTTGGACGGATGGAGCTGCCCAGGACCCGGTGGAAAGCGAAGGAGGCTGCTGGAGGGAGGGAACAGCTCCTTGGCAGCCAGCTCATCTGGGTGAAGCCTGTGTGGGCAGGAGGGATCGCCCCTGGGTCCAGCTACCTGCTTCAGACCCTCGAACAGCACACTATGTTTCTGCAGGCTCCGAGAGATGCAGTGACTGTTTTCCAACCACTTTCTAACTCGCGAATTCATTATAAAGCTTGTTGTGTGCAGGGGGAAGTAGCTAAGAATTATGGAGACTTCGTGACCTCAGAAAGGGACTAAGGTCTGCGATCCACCAGAAGACAGCCTCTTAGGGTGCTCATCGCTCAGATGCAGCATGTTTGCCTGTCAGCTTGTTTGTTTTGTTTTGTTTTTCCCTTCATATCCCTTGGCTGTTCCCTTTGTAAAAGAGAAATTGCATAAAGACAGAAGTGTTTGGATCTGATTTTAAGGAGAGGGATTTCAACTGGTTGCTTTACTTAGGGAACAATGAAATAAAAACTGGGAGGGCTTCCATCTGATAATTTATTGCCAAATGTAACATTTAGATGAAAAATATTTACAAAGAGGTGGACTGAAAATGCTAGTCACTTTGACTGATTTTTTTTTCTCAGGGTTATCCTATTTTTGGGAAGGCTACATATCTAATGTAACATATAAGGGGAACAATCCAGCTATAATAGTTGCATTTTGCTTTTAAATCACATATGCTATTCATTACAGTAGGAATGGTTTGGGGGAAAAAAAAGTCATTAGCAAGCATTACGATATTGATATGAAAATGATATATAAATATTTCTGTTATTCACAAGTTTACATATACCCTTCTCAAGCTCCCTATGGGCCTAGAAATATCCAGATAATTTTCTTTACGTAAGAAAAAATATTACTCCAGGGAGTGTTGGAAACGATTTCGATGTTCAGCTGTGCTGGTACACAGTGAGCTCACTTTTCATGGATGAGAGAGAGGAGGATGTCTGATTTCAAATCCCATCTCTGCCTGACCATGGGAACTGACGCACCCCAGGCCTCAGTTTGCTCATCTGTGAATGGGACTGATGACGGTGGCTGCCTCAGGTGTATCCTCACTTGAGAATCACTGTGAACACTGCCCGGTCCATGTTAACCAACTACACTATTTTTCAGTAAATTGATCCAGTAAAAACTTTTGAAAGAATATGTGTGCATTACAGGTGAGCCTCCTGCGAAGGGACGTTTAACTGTCTGGCTAGTTTCTGATTGACAAATGCAATCAAGCCAGGTTCCTCTTTTTGGCTGCCTCCAACAATTTCATTCCACCGAGAGCACAGCTTAAAGATGCTGCTCATTTCTCAAGCATGTTGGCAAAGTGTGTGATCACTCATTACTCACTGTAAAGGGTACCGGAGAGCATAAGCTCTACCTGGAAATGTGGTGCAGGCCCTTGCCGGCGGAACTTCCTGCTACATACCTGCCTAACCCTAGGTCGCCCTGCTCAGGCTTTTGCAGAAACCTGGTCCCTGAGCTGGGAAACCAAGGGAAGATGTTTGAGGCAAGTACCACCACAAATGCAAGGTCACCTTCAGGGCTGCTGGCATCTCTTCGCCCTGTTCACGGCCCTGTCATTGTACAGGGCAGAATGCTGCCTCAGAGGGGCACATAATTGCTGTTTGCTTTACAGGAGCATGGGTGCACCCAGCACAGAGCACAACTTCTGCCTATGTGTTGCTTCCAATTTTGTGGTTAGGGAACAAAACTGGAACCTGAAGTTCAACACATAGGTTAGATCCTGATTTGAAAGTCAGTTAAAATCAAAATCTTGGCCAATCTTTACCTTTCTTGAAGTTCCTCCAATTGGTGTAATTTCTGCCAACATGACTTTAGCATACACATGCCATTCTCTGTATTTTACTTATTTTGACGGAATAAAGCACACTGGATGGGCAAGGGGGATGGCGCAGCAGCAGGATCTCAGTGTCCCAGGAGGAAAGGCTTCAGGACAGGCTGGGCTCACAAACACCCAAGCTTCAGGATGGTGGGGAGCAAGCAGCACTCACACCCTACCCCCCACCTCCACGAGCCTCTCTGCCTCCTCTCCTGTCCAGATCCTTCAGCGTGGCAGCCTGAACCGAGAGCAGCAGTTGGAAGAAACATCAGGTACCAACAGCACCTGATGCCAGCAGGAGATGTGACTGATGGGCGTCTTGAGCCCTTCTGGGCCTGTGCCCAATCTGTCCCTGGAATAAAGAACAGCCCCTTGGCGGGGGCTGCCCAGAGGCCCATTGGGTCAGCCTGTTAGCTGGGAGCTGGCCGAGGGACAGAACAAGGGGCAGCTGAGCCTGGACACAGGTGCTCCTGAGTCCAGAGACAGCCCTTGTGCCCAGGAGGCACAGCTTCAGGAAAGGCTGCAGGGGCCCTGGGACCCATTCACAGCACCCTGGCTTTGGCCAGGACTCTCGCTGCCCAGGTATTTGTGTGGGGGTCTTGCCCATTTCTTTGATGCCCTCTGTCCACAAACCATCAGCACCATGGTGCTGAACCAGCATAGATGTGCTTTTGCAGGATTAACAAGAATATCTGCCTTTTGCTCGAGGTACTGGACTAGGTCTACATTGTGCACTGAATCTCGTCTGATGTTCACACAAGCTCCATGGAGCAGAACTGAAGTGGAATTCCTTACACAGGTGAGGACACAGGGCCCAGGGGATTTAGGGAACCTGCCCAGAGTTCCAAGGTCACAGTGAGGGGTCACATTTCGGTCATTCCCACTGTACAGCCTGTGAAGTTGACCCCTTTGCCTGACTTGCTTTTATTCTAGAGTCTGAAACTGCTTACTTTTGTGGGCCTCTACAAGCCTTCTCTGAAATGGGTAAAAATCGATTAAATGGTGACTTTGAGCTCCAGTGTTTACATGTGTGTGTATAATTTATAAATATATACAAATGCATAAAGTACATAAATAACTCATGCCCATGCCAGTAGCTCTGTCTCAATATCTGCATCAAGATGTGTGTCCTCTGTCCTTGGAGACCTACAGAGATGCAGTTGTAAAATGCACATGATGGGTAAGAAGCAGGCTGTCTTCTGGCTAACCCCACATCACTACATCAGCCACAGATTACCGCATGCCCCCATCCCCCAAGCACTCCAAATTTACCTTTCTTTCTCAGAACAAACCTACCATGTGGACAGGAAAGGCCTTATCATTTTCCCACTGAAGATATGAAGGCTGGGAGTGTTAGTGTGTCTGGACCAATGTTGATTGCTAGAGGGAGGCAGAGCCATATCTGGCTAGATGGCCCCAGTGCATCCCCCTAAGAATTTGCATCCAAAATCTCATACGTTCACTCAGCTGACCTGAACATGTTTCTGAAAAAAGAGCCTGGGGTCTGCCCTGGGACATGCAGTCACAGCTATTGCACCTTCTAAAAACGTAAGTCCTCTTAGGACCATTCTTGCCCCTTGTCCTCCAGGCTCCTTGACCAAATGGCTAACACCTTCTTAAAACAAATGCATTCTTTAATTCCCAGTTTGAATTAAGAATGAATGCCACAATCAATGTCTGTATTTTCAGTCAGTTATAAGTATGGTTAACTTGGTTTCTCAGAGGTTTCCAAAAACAAATGAGAACACCCACAGAAACTAACATGACTTATTTAGAATCCAACTTTTGGTTGGTACCCCTCCCCCCATCAGACAATCTCCATGAGATGGAAAATAGCAGAACAAAGGGTTCCCTGGAGATATTTATGTTTGCTGACTCACGACATCACCACATATGATGCTAAATTATTACTTTTCACAGACAGAGAAAAAGCACAAGAGGGCTTTTTTTGCTCTTTCATCTTCAGACATTGTTCTTAAATTTAAATAACTCACATCAAAGAACTTGGACATGAGACCTAAAAGTATTGGAAAATAATATATCAAGATGACATTTACTGTGACACACACATTCTTATTGACATTCTCATGCCAGGGTCTGGAAGTGGTGTGGCTGGGTGGGGGGTAGGGGGTGACAACAGCGGAGAGGTCCAGAGGCGCAGAGGAGAGTTTTGAATATGAAAATGCAATTGTACGGTGCTATTATAAGGGCTACTTTCCCCCTGTTCTTTTTCTTCCTCCCAGGCGGGCCTGTGGTTTGAGAGAACACCAAATGCATGCCTACCAGCTTCCTGAATGAACAGCGGACCATAGCGCAGTGGCAAAGTTTCTTTTCCAAAGTTCCACGTGGAGTTGATTGCTGATTTATATAATGTATATGAGATCTTCAGTCAAATAATTTTGGCATACAGAGTTTTCTTTATTGGTTAGTACCACAGATTTTAATTTGCCAATGTACAGCTGCCAAAGCACATGTTCAAGCTAAAACTTACTTGAGTTCTGTGTAAATGTTTAGAGAAACACTACTTGGAAAATACCAGTAAAGAGAAAAGACATCCAAAGTTTTTTATCACAAGACACAACTTTAAATTCTACTTATATATTACACTATGTTGGTTTTGGGAAATGCATTGAGCTCTTCTGAGCCTCTTCTGTGAAATAAGGGGTTCAGTTGCTAGGAACCTCAGCTGAGGACAAGTGTGCCACGATGTTTGTGCATGGACCTTGAAATGCTTGTCACTTAACACATTCATTGTTGTCTTTGACACACAGTGTGTTGACTGTAATCATAAGTCAGTAGTAGGCCCCAAGATCAGGAAGAAGCATTCAAATAGAGATGGTCTTGGCCATGAACAGAACCCGTGAGAAGATGGCCTGTGACCGCATGGGTCCTGGGGCACCACAGCCCCATCTGTCATGCAACCCCAGTGACCTTGAGTCATCCATGTTTTCTCCAGGCTAATTGTAACAGCTGGTTCCATTTCCTTCTACGGATACAGGTTGTTCTCAAGACAGGCCTGGCAGCCACAGGGCAGTGTCCAGAATCAGTGTTTTATGCTCTGCAACCTTTTAATAGACTAAAGTATGGCATTTTATTACTAAATATTTGTGCAGGATATGAGAAATAATGACTTGAAATAATCATTTTCAACATTGTAGATCCCATTACTTACATTTACATTCAAAATGCCCTTGGTTGCTAGTTTCTGAAATGTGAAGCCTTAATATTTTATTGAACTATACAGACTTATCACTATTTAAAACTTCCTTAATGCACACCTTATCCTAGCTTTTTCCTTGTGTCTTAAGCCAGTGCACTTCAAAGTTAATTTTTTTTTTTTAATGATCCAAATCTTCTCTTGGAATCAGTAATTTTCAATATGA